GTGTGACTCATGACTTAGAGCTTCAAGATGGAAGGGATCTTACTATCATGTCTGATATGCAAAAGGTGAATATATTCTTCTGTTTCTGTTTTCTGTCAATATTTATTTTTTCTAATTTCTGTTTCTGTTGGCAACTAATTCAATTCTTTTTATATTTAAGGGATTGCTTAAAGCTGTATCAGAAGTGTTGCCTGAAAGTGAACATAGGTGGTGTGCCAGACATATATTACCAAGCTGGTCCAAAGATTGGAGAGGATTAGAGAGGAGAAATAACTTCTGGAGGTGTGCTAGAGCATCATGTGTGGCAGAACTGAATTTTCACCTGGACAGTTTGAATATGCTTGGGAATGGGATATGTGAGAGCCTCTTGAGGTATAACAAGGAAACCTGGTGTAGAGCATACTTCAACTGTGACAGGAAATATGATATAATTGACAACAATATGTGCGAGACATTTAATGCTTGGATACTTGCTGCTCGACACAAGACAATTATCACAATGTTGGAGGAAATTAGAGTGAAGATGATAGAGAGAATAGGAAAGTTGAGGGAGTTTGCAGATACATGGATATGTGATATATCCCCAATTGCTATGAAGGTGTATCAAGATAACATGGCACAATCTATGAGGTGTACAATCAAGTGGAATGGTGAATATGGCTATGAGGTTGAGGATACCTCATTAAGAGTGGTGCTGAAGCATTGTGTGAATATGCAAGCTCAAACTTGTACATGCAGGTCATGGATGCTGAAGGGTATCTCTTGTGCTCATGCCATTGCTGTTATGCATTTCAAGAACCTTGACCTAATTAACTACATATCTCACTGGTACCACAAATCCACCTATCTGAAGGCATATTCAACATTCATCCAGCCTGTGTCAAATATGCAAATGTGGCCAACATCTACCAATCCACCAATTGAACCCCCACCAATTAAAAAGATGCTGGTAGATCAAAGAAGAAGAGAAGAAGAGAAGAAACTGAACATCCTACTTCTGGAAAGCTTTCAAGAAGGGGTATAGAGATGACATGTTCAAACTGTGGTGGATATGGACACAACAAGAGGAGCTGCCCTAAGAAAGCAAGGCCTGCAGATTCTACTCCAGCAAATGCTTTATATATCCAAAGATGTGGAGGAAGAGGCAGAGCAAGAGGAACAGGAACTCCAACTACTTCTGCCCCTGTTGCTGCTGGTAGAGGAAGAGGAACTGCTGCTAGTAGAGAAAGAGGAATTGGTACTCCAACTACTTCTGCCCCTGCTGCTGCTGGTAGAGGAAGAGGAACTGGTAGTGGTAGGTGAAGTTCTGGGTTTGGACTATTTCAATCAAGCAGTGGGTTCACAAGTTTTTCTGTAAGTAGTTCAAAGTTAATTTTATATCTTGTTTGCTTTAACAACTTTACTGAATATTTTCTATTTTTGGCAGTCTGGTGGAGGTAAGCCAAGAGTGGTCTCTCATGGTGGTGAAAAGAGGTCCTCGGCAGATATTCTGGAGTGTGCATACAAGCCAAGAAGTGGTGTAAAATGGAATGGTAGACCAGCCATTACTAGAAGACAACTTGAAAGAACTGCTGCAACTCGTTCCAGAACTGCCACATCTCAATCCAATTTAAGTCAAGCAAGTTCATCATCCCAGCCATACAAGAACAACCACTGAATTCTGTTATTGTCACTATTAATTTATTTTGGAACTGTTGTAATTTTCCTTTGGAACTGTAATTTATTTTGGAACTGTTGTTAGGTTAATTTGGAACTGCTATTTAGGTTTGTTGTTAGTGTTGTTATTTTGTTAAGGCAGCCTGCTGTTATTTTGGTATGCTGTAAAACTGGGCAGCGTATATTTTTGTTAAGGCAGGCTGCTGCTATTAGGTGATTGTAATAAACACCTTTATTCTATGATGAAATATATTTTTAGTGTTGTTTGATAATTTCTGGGTAGATGTGTCTTTAGTGTTGTATAAATGCTGTTATTTTGCTATGTTGTTAAGCATTTGTGCTGTCATTTTTGTATGCTGTTATTTCTGGAAAATTTCTGTATTTGAGTTGTATATCAGCCACTAATTGACTGTGTTTCAGTATTTTATCAGTCACAATTTGAGGTGTGTTTTAACTGTACTATCAGCTTATACAGCAACAAAGTCAAACGAAACAACATTAACAATTGCCAAAAAAATCATTCTAACTCACACAGCAACAAACTCAAACAAAA